GAGCGGACGGAGGAGGGGGGGGGGTGTCGCGAGAACGTGTGGCATCAAAAGGCTCAGCGACGAGGCAGACGTTGCTGCTTCTTCTTCCTCCTGCCGCTGCTGCTTTGTCTGGTGCTGCAGCAGTAGCCGAGGTCGCGCATAAAAAAAGACGATGTTTGCCGAGATCTTTGTGTTCGGGCCGCTGGCAGTCTCAAAACGGCTGACTCGGTTCTCTACAAACAGTACTCAAGACACCAGAACGTTCCTCGTAGTGCCCGATGTTCTTGCTGCTATTCCCTCTTTCTCTTCCTATTCCCACCTTCTTGCTCTTCTTCTAACGCCAGCCTCAGCAGGGAAGCCGCCCGACGCCTGGCCGGAAAACCGGCGGCCTCTTTGCAAACTAGCGCCTCGAACTGGGACATGCTCACCTGGACTCGCACACACACACACACCACGCGGAGTGTAGCGGTAAATGGGGACTGGAGGATGTCACTCGCAGCCTACATACATTTCGAGTAGAACGCAAAGCGAGAGCAGGCTACAATAGGCCCCGACTCGATGGGAATGCAAAGGTTAAGGTGGGCAAACAGAAGCCGAGCGCGTTTCTGCTGCCTTGTCATTCTCGCTCGCACCCGTGGCCGTCATGCACCCGAGAGTCCACGGCCATTTGGATCACGAGTCCCGACCATTCGACGAGGGATGCTGTGAACCTCTACCACTGCCCCCTCTCGCGCTACAGGCTGTTCAACCCCCAGCGAGGGTGGGCCAACGCATAGATAGCGGGCATCGTACCGCTGTTGAGTGCACTTTCGTCATGGCCAGCAAACAATGCAAGCCGTCTCTCACACCTTTGTGTCAACGACCCGAGATCATCGAGCGCCCAGATTGTACAGAAACAGCGTCACGCAAATGACGTATCGAGAGCTTCAACGTCCGCCAAAGGTACGGGGACCAGAGGAACAGAAGCAAAGCGGTGGTACAGAAGCACGTGAACTGTACGGGAGCGCAGCAGTATCTCGGCAACTACAAGCAAGCATTCCCGGGGTGTGGGAATATGGAGTAGACGATACACGTGACGGAAGAACATCAAGCCGCACCGTAACTTTAGCGTCACATGCACCGGTCAACGGAAGCCCAGTAGTAGCCTAGCGAACCCACCTGTCCCGCGTGCTCCTCCTCGGCGGCGGCAGACACAGCGTCCACCGCACCCGCAACCGCGCCTCCGTCTTCTTCCTCCTCCTCGCCCTGCCCGCCGCACACCGCCGCCGCCAGCTCTCCGAAAACGAAACCCGCATAGGCGGCCACGTCCCAGCCCACGAGCGGCCTGCCGCTCCCGATTTCTTCGCGGTGCTTCTTCCTCGCCCTCTCCAGGGCCTTGGATAGCGAGCGCGCCTCCTCGTCCTTTCTCGTACCTCCGCTGCCGTTGCTGTCACCGCCTGGTGCCACTGTTGAAGAACCTTGGCGGAAGCGGCACTCGCTCGGAGAACTAGCCACACCGGTAGGCTCTCTGGGAGCACGAGGAGTAGGGAGAGGAGCAGAGGGGGACGGAAGGCTCTCCTGTGGCCCTTCAGCTTTGTTCTTGCTGCGCTTGTTGTTGTTCTTCTTCTGCTTCTTCTTCTTCCTGTTGTGCGCGTTGTCACCACTGCTGATGTTCTTGCCATTGCTTTCGGACTTGCACGCCGAAGGTGGTGCCGCCGCCCCTGGCGCTGCTACTACCCCTTCACCTCGACAGGCTCCTGTTGCTGCTGCTTTGCTGCCACCCTCTCTTCCGTCTGCTGACGAGTGTCCCTGGTACTCACCCCCTCCGGCAACAGCAGCAGCCGCAGCAGCGGCAGCGGGAGCAGCAGCAGCAGCACCGGAAGACCTCTGCAGACCTGTTACGTGGGCATGTTGCATGCGATGGCCGTCTGGTACTATGTCTCCTCGTGCTGCTCCTGCTGCCGCTGTTGGCGCTGGTGATCCCGTGGCATCGAGGGAGACGGCCAACCGCTGCTTCTTCATGGTGACGCCGTGCTTTCCTTCTCTGCGAGAGGCCCTGTCGGCGGTGCTGCTACCGCTGGCGGCTTGCGGTGCCGGTACAGCTGCGGGATCATGTGTGGCCGGAGCGGCGGCAGCAGCGGCGGCGGCAGCAGCAGCATCTCTCTTGCGTTTTCGTCTCGCTGCGTTCTTCTCTGCCCTCGATCTCTTAGCAACTACTATCTCCGGCATGGTGCTGTGCGTAGGCTCGCCTAGCCCGAGAGCGCGCAAGAGGGAGGCTGCGAGAAGGCGAGAAGGCCGCCCAAACGATCGGGAATCGCAATGGGTGGGTTTCCATTGGTTCTGAAGGCGTACTGGTCCTCCCGCTTGTCCGGCGGGCGGCGGAATGTTGAGAAAAGAATGCAAGCCCGTGTGTACTCCGTGCCGCTGTGGTGCGTTAGAGCCATGAGCGGAGCAGCAGGAGACGTGGACGACTACCTGGAGGACTACTATGACGCAATCGTCCTGTCCACAGGCCTCGGCAGTAGCATTATGGCAGCGTAAGGCGATTACTAAAAAATGTTCTGAAAAAAACTTGCGCGCAACCCCCCATACTCTGTCCTGCTGCGGGATCTCTTGCACAGCCTTTGATCCGCGTTCCGTATCCGTTGGGCATACGCAGGCGACCCACGCATTGCAACAAAGTTGCATTCATCCTTTGCCACTGATTTTTCGTCGGGGTCTCGTTTTTATTTGACACCCATCCCTGTACTGTACAACTTGCACAGCGTGTGGTCTCTCGCGTTCTCTCTCCTTCTCCCTCTCGCGGTCTTCTCGCCCTCCGTAGCACCGCGACAGCCTAATCATCTGATCACGATCGGTCCCAAACCTGCCTGCATTGTTTCTTAATTTAGCCCAACACGTTGCCACTGCCATGGCTATGTCCGTTTCCCCCACCCAAAACACTCACAGAGCTTTGGCGAAGGCGGGAAAAAGCGTCCTGTATCTGGACTGCCACGAGTACTACGGCCAAGACTCCGCCAGCTTTTCCTTCACGCAGCTGTTAGACTGGGCCGAAGCGAACGGCCGGAAGAACCAGGGGGGCAAAGGCGGTGTCGCCGACGATGGGGGCCAGACTTGCGCGATCTCGACAAATGATGCGGCGAAAATGGTTGACAGCGCTGACGCTTGGACGGCCATTGCTAGAGCCCATGCCCGAAACGAGCTTAAGAAGGAGCAGGAGATGAAGGCTATCGCGGAGGGGGAGGGGGGCGAGGGCAATAGTGACGAGCCGGGGGCAGAGAGCACGACGGAGGCGGGAGATATCAAGGGACAGCAGCAGGGATCGCAAGACGCGGCCACCGCTGCGACTGCTGCTGCTGCTACTGCTGCTGCTGCTGCTGCTGCTGCTGCTGCTTCGGCTTCGGAGCAAAACTCGCCCAACACCAACCAACCGGAGCAGCAGCAGGGTGACGGAGAAGAGAAGGAGCCCACTGCGGAGGAAGCCGCAGCGGAAAAAGCGGCCGTGGACGCCGCGGCGGCGGCACGCCTCCAAGCCCTAGACCTGCACCTCCTGCCCCTGTCCTACCACGGCTGTCGAACGCGCGCGTGGGCGCCCAGCGACGCTTGCGTCCCCGAGCGGGAGAGGCGGAAGGTTGCCGAGGATGCCGCAGCAGCATCCGGCCGCTTCTTGAGGGGGAGGCAGCCGCAGCCTTCCCACCCCGCCTGGGCCGGCCGGCGCGATCCGACGATGAAAGGGGATGGGGGAGCAGACGGGGGGGAAGAAGAGGGGGTGCACCCGTCGTTCTGGGGGTATCGTACGGAGCGGCGGCCGGGCGCGGCGGATCTCGTCCGTCTGTCGCGGTCTTTCAACCTGGACTTGACCTCTCAGGTATCTTAAACTACGTTTGTGTGTATATACGCTTTCTATGGGTGATGATGGATATGGACTAATCGCATGGCGATGTCGCGCGAAGACGGTGCTGAGGTGTGCATGTCCGCCTCGCTCCCAGTGCTCTGGGACATGTGGAGTTGAGCTTTTGCTTATACACTGCCTTCCCATACTGTGGTACGTCCAAATTAGTCCCCAAGCGCAGTGATGCCGTTGGCACCAGGGAGCCACCTCAAATCCTACCCCCCTGCTGTTGTCTTAAAGCGGGACTGCTTTTCAAACACCCTGCCTGTCACACCGAGCCGGGAAAGCACCTGACGACCCCACCCCGTCCCCCGTTCTGCACCCATACTACCGTAGGTGCTGCTTGCCACCGGGCCTGCGGTAGATGCTCTCGTCGATTCCGGCGTGGCGAGCTACCTGGAGTTCAAGGACATGCAGGCTCTCTACCTCGCCTCCGACATTGCTGCTCCGGCTTCGTCGGCGGCGGGTGTGGGAGGGGCGCGGGCACCAGCAGGGCCCTACGCAGCCGCAGCAGCAGCAGGAGGACGAGACGGCGGCCGTAGAGACACCAACGGCAGCAGCAGCAGCAAGCCCCACCATAGGCTCGGCCTCTCGCGGGTGCCCTGCTCCAAGGCGGACGTCTTCGGCACCAAGCTCCTGACTCCGCTCGAGAAGCGCCGCCTCATGAAGTTCCTCCTCTTCGTCAGCGACTGGGGCCTGCAGAGGCGCGGAGAGGACGTCCTCTCGCGCAACGAGGCCGGCCTGGGGAGGGGCCGCAGCCTGCGGCGCCCCCAGAACCGCGAAGCCGCTTCGGGCGACTTCGACGCGGACGCCCACGCTGGGAAGCCCTTCTCCGGGTTCCTGAGGGGCTGCGGGCTGCCCGAACGCGTGCGCGCTATGATCACGCACGCCCTCGCCCTGCTGCCCGGGGGCGACGAGGGAGGGGAAGGGGGAGGGGTGACGACGGAGGAGGGGCTGGAGGCTGTGTACAGGTGAGCGCTTGGTTTTGGTGTTTGTGACGTTAATGTGTCTGTCTGCTCGATACTTGGACACAAAGAGTGGCGTTCGTAGGAGAGGCTTGCCCTTGTCCTTACAGACAATGAAAGGTCGGGGCCGGGCTACTAATAGGTGGTGCGCAGCTGAGCGGAGGGGACGCAACGTCGAGGACCCCACTTCCTGAGACAAGAAGAAGCAAGTTGGTGGGCGCATTTTCTGCCCCACGGGAAACGACGAAACTCCAACGAGAAGTACAATGCGACCAGTCAGTCCACTTCTTGGACAAACCCACCACCTTCGTGGTCTTCCTCACGGCGCGCCCTCACGTTGCACATTCATTCCTCGGGGCCCCCTCTCTTGACGCTCCAAACCCCGTGCCCGTGCTCTGCGCGGGTGAACGAACAGGCACCTCTCCGCCCTCGGGCGTTTCGGCGAAACGGCATTCATCGCCCCGCTTTACGGCGTCGGCGAGCTGTCCCAGTCGTTCTGCCGGATGGCGGCGGTCCACGGGGCGATCTGCATGCTAAGGCGCCAGCTGAGGGGGGCTGTTGTTGACCGGAACTCCGGGAGGTGTGTATAGCGGTGTGTGCGGCCTATGTGTGTGTATTCGTGTCCTTTCGTTAGCTTTTAACAGCTCTTGAAGAGTGGCGAGTCTCAGGGGGGCGGACTATGTCTAGGTGTGTATATCCCTGTAGCACGCAAGGTGTAGTGTGCAGAAACTCATGGATGCGTTTTTTTTTTTTGTCTTGACTTTATGTCAGCGCTCACAGCATTTGTGCGGTTTACTCCAACCCGTGGTCACACAGAAGGGTTCCTCTCCCTGAGGACCCCTGCCCATCCCTCCCGCGGTGCTTTTCCTTCAATTTTTAATGCCAGAAGAGTGCAGCACCCTGTACACAAGAACTATTATAAACAGCACCTTTTCCACCCAGGCCAGGAACGAAAACGAGAGAAAAACTCACTATACAAAAACACCTCGCTTATTCCGGCATTCGAATCCCTGACCCTGGCTGACCACCATGAGGTTTTCGAGGATACGAACTAGACTACCGGGACCGTGCACGTATGTATGCGTTGATGTAATACCAGGTATTAATAGTGTACTTTCAGTGGCACCGGCTGCGAAAAGTGGTTGAGCGATGGAAGAATGCTGATCTTGCGCGGAATAGAAATTGCGAATAGCGAATACTTCTGCAGCTCCGTTTTTTTACTACAGTACCGTTGTCCCCACGCAGACTCCTTATTTCTTGTTCTCGCAACCATCGCGTTGTTGTGATGGCACCTCGTGGCCCCCTACCTGCCTGCCACGTCAGGTGCGTTGGAGTCGTCGACGACGCCGGGCGGGCCTTCGCGTGCTCGTTTCTCGTCGTGGGAGGGGAATTTTTTGCCGCATCCCCTCCCACCAGCACCCAACATCCGACAAAGACGCCTGTTCCAGAACATCTTCTTGCGCCACACCCACCACCGCCGTCACCACCAGAAACACTCCCTACCACCGGCACCGGTAGCAGCAGCCGCGTCCGCGGCAGGCTGCTCCGCCGAGTCGTCCTGGCCTCCGGCCCGGTGGCGCCCGAGGGCAGGGGGCGGGGACTATGCGTCTTGCCCCCCGGCCTCCAGAGCATCGGAAACCCCGCCGCGGTGCACGTCGTGTCCCTCGACGACACGACCGCAGCCTGCCCGGATAACTTGGGCGGCGCCTGCGTGATTCACCTGACTACAACCACCACGAGGGCGGGCGAGGCAGACGACAGCGGCCAGGCCGGGGTAGGGTCGCAGGTGGCACCGATGAATCAAGGCGGGGAGGGAGAAGAAGTCCCCGCGGGAGCTAACGCTAACGTGGATGGGCCGGGGGATGAGGATGGGAGAGACGGGGTGTTGGGGCGAGCGTCCAGGGAGCTGCTTGCCGCTGCTGGGGTGGAGGAGGTGGGGGGGGGAGGACTCCCAGACCCTTGTGTTGTTTCACGAAATTTTAATACTGTTCCATCACTGAAAGACTAAAAATACAGTCGGAGAGGATGTGCTGAAGTCTTTGCAATGAGTGTAACCGGCTGAATACCTGTCTCAGTTGTTTGTCCTACTTCTTTTTTGGTTCTTTGGGGACCTCTGGAAAATCTCGCTCCTGTTGTCGCTCTTTCATTGCTGCGAGAATCGCATGTATGGGGGTGTGTAAGCCCCCGCTACTTGAGCCTCGTGCTCTGCTTGTTCTCAACCATATGTGACGTGCTCGGGTGTCTACTTCGTCTAGAGCAGCTGCTCCTCTTGTGCTTAGAGTTGACCGATCTCCTGTGCCTTTTTTTGTGATTGCTGATTGTTCGCGATCAAGATCTGGAGCCTTGGCTTCAGCTGGGACATCCAAGACCCGCCTAGGCCGGAAGACCTTCCGGCGAATGTGGTGGTGTGCGAACGCCCTGGCCAGGAGGTACACGCACCAAATCTTTCCCTAACGGGGCGACCGTTGTCAATGTCATTGGTGTTGCTACTGCCGCTGCTGCTGCTGCTGCTGCTGCTGTCTTCACACGATTGTTTTTGCTTCGTTATCAAGTCGAAACGATCTGTTCGCGCCAAAAACAAGAAACGTCCACGTCGCCACCCCCCCCCCCCCCCCCCCCCCCCCCCCCCCCCAGTTATATTTGCACAACGTGGTCGTTCAGGCGGAGCGCGACTTCGCTCGACTGTTCCCGGGCGAGCCGTTCTGGCCGCCGCCGGCCGGTCAAGGGGAAGACGAGGACGACCAGGCGGATATGCTCGAGGCCGCCGCGTCCGCGGTCACAACATCGGGGGTCGACGCGGACAAGGATGGGGGGGGGGAGGAAGAACAAGAGGACGAAGGAGGGGGAGACGCAGGGGAGCAGGATGAAGAGGGAGGAGGAGACGCAGAAGAGGAAGGAGGGGGAGACGCAGGGAAACAAGAGGAAGAAGGAGGGGGAGACGCAGACAGGGAAGAGCCGGGGCCCGAGCACGGGCAGGAGGTGGTTGTGGGGGCCATGGGAGGTGATCAGGACTTGGAAGGCCGACACGGGGAAGAGCTTGGCGGAGAGCATAGTAGCGGGGTGGGGAGTTCCCAAGAGGGGCAGAGGGGGGGGGGGGGGACGAAGGTGGGGTAGGGAGAGCGGGAGCGACGGGGAGGATCGAGAGAGAAGCTACGTGTTCGAGAGAGGTGGCACTTCTCTGCTGTCTGCTTCCTGAAACCAGAGGAAGGCCTTCAGTCCGAGAAAGACAGGGACTTGTAAATGGTGCAAGTGGTGTACTAGCCGTATTGAGCAACTAGTGTTGGGGCAGTGTATGAGCACTCTACGACAACTTTTGTGTTTTTCCCGTCGGTATGGATTGATCTGATGTGATCTAATCTGATGTGTATGCTGAAGGTACAGCGGCCTTTCGCAGTCATTCTCTCCTCGTGAGCCCGGAGCGCGGGCCTGGCATTCATGAAGAGGATAAAGCAAGAAAAAGTAGCAACTTAACAGCTGGGATAAGTCTTTGTGTTTGTGACGCCAAGCCATGTGTGGGAGTTGGCTCCCACTGGGTGGGTAGTACAATATTAATATTTAGTGCTCTCCTTCATCCATGATTGCCCTCCCCCCCACAGTTTGCTCCATCCCGGCTTTGTAGGGATGCGAGGTCAATGGTCTCACGAAAATTACGGCGTGCACGGCTGTGAGAACACCCACCGCCCGAGCGCGTCCGTATCGGCGACGGCATTTTCGCTATCTTCCCGTACACAATGTAACGACAGCCGTTCCGAAACAAGCCAGTTCGTCCACCGCCTGAAACTTTATTTCCTTGTGTTTGGGACGAATCGATTCGGGCAGGGTGTTTTTTCTCGCATAAATCGTGTTTTCTCTTGCTATTTGGGATTACAGGAGTGCTGCAGACCTTGTGCACGGTCTGCGCAACTTGGCCAATGGGGCGATCGACTCGCAGTTAACAAAGACCAAAACTGGCCAGCAGCAAACCCTGCTTCCCTACATGACACCATCAGTTGATGGAACTATGCACGATTTTGATGCTTCTTTCGCGATGAACCTTGCAGGAGATAGGTAGATGCACAACAAATTGAATTTGAACCGCGGCAAGGCGGAATTTGAAGCCCTGCACAGACACGATGACAGCATCCATCAAAACGGCTTCGGGCGCTTGAAGGCAAGGCCTAGATGCCTGTCTCACGACTGAGGGGCCCGGCGACGGGGAGGCGTCCACATCGAACCCCACCCCCCACCACCCCCGTCCCCCACCAGCTTTTGGTTCAGCCTTGTGAAAAGTGGCCTGGGCCGGCGAAATCCCGGCATTGCAGGGATGCCAGGTCATGGTCTTACGACTACGGCACTTACGACCATGAGTACACCCCCCCGCCTCCTCGCCACCCTGGTACCTCTACACAAAGAGGGGGCCAATGGTTTTCAAGCAAAGATGATGGTGTAGGCACGAGAATTGCATAACCGTTTGTTCTGCGTCTTGGCGGGTTTTCCGCCCCAGAGCGGAACCTGCAAGCATCACCCCTCTTATCTTTTGAACAAGGCCTGCAAGACGTGCGGTTGTTGCCGGAAAATTGCAGAAGAACCGTTTCCACCTGTTGGTGGATTTTCCACACCAGAGCGGAGCATGCGCGTATCACCCCTCCCTCTAAATGGTAATGGTTGCGGGTGTTTGACCGCATGTATAGGTACATCATAAAGTGGAAAAAACTCCTCAACTATGCAGTTGGGGCTTGCGTTCCACGTCCCGCAGGAAACGAACGTCGCGAGGATCCCACAGCAGTGTGTGGACCTCCCTAGCCCGCTCCGAGTTGCTGATGTTTCCAAACGACTGCACATGACCACGCTTCAAACCAAACTCAAAACAAGGGGGGTCCTCTCGACTACCCCGACAAATGCCCTCACCCTGCAGCAGTCATTGAGCGAAGACGCACTTTGCACACCTCCTAGCGAACACCACTACATTCGTCGGGGAAAGTAGAGCATGTGCGGGGGCCTGACTCAGAAAACCGTTTCGACAGGACGCGCCAGAAAGGCGTTCCAAAGCAGGCTCTTTACCACCGTTCTGGCCCGTTTGTCTTCTTTTCCCCTGGCTAATTATGATACACGCAGCACTGCTGCTGCTCTCTCCTAGTCGTGACCAAAACGCTGTGCTGGTCTCTCCCGTTCCCGCTCCTCCACAAGCACGCCGCACAATGGGAGACCCTGCTGCGGTCTCGCCCATTAGCTCGCTTGCCCGGTGTACCCCTGCGGGGTCACACGCCAAGATGGGGTGGTGGAGGGGACAACAAAGGACGAGTGTGGGAGTTCATGTTCATTGGTCGACATAGTGGGGGGCGTACCTATGCTTGCATGCCTTAGCGGTTAGACCATTGGCCACGGGTCCTCGACAAGACGGAGAATTGTTGCCACAGGACCGATCACCGATCGGTGGGGGGGGGGGGGGGCTACGTCGCAGAGAATCTGTAGGCAAGTGCAAACAGCGCATATAGCGATCAGAGGAGTTTGTACATCCCTTCTTAGACGGACACACATTTTTTGCTCCAGAGAGAAGCACCTCCAACACATGTTGGATCTCTTCGTGTGCGTGTGGGGGGTAGATGGGAGGGTGCGGGGATGTGGGGTGCGGGGTGTGGGTAGAGGATCCGGTGTGGTGCAGAAGGGCGGGGGTTCAATCAGAAACATGCAGCACCTTAGTCAACCTGCAGTAGTGCGGGATCAACCGCATACACCGTTGGAAGCGACGCACTGCAAAACTCGTTGTTAGTAAACTGGATTGATTTCATAAGTCGCGAGGGAAGGGATTGCTGTACCCTTCTCGCGATAAAAATATCTCAGGCAACAACCGCAGGAGGGGGTCCAACCCCCCCCTCCTGTGTGACCCCGGTTGGGTCGTCTAGCTGGTAGAAGTGGAGGATAGGGGCCAGAGGGGTAGACGACAGAGTCCAATGATGGGAGAAAAACAACAACAACATCAAACAACTCCCAGCTTTTGCTGTGAGAGCAGAAACAACGCGGAGGAAGCATGGATCTTGTTTGATGGTAGTAAAGTGCATGAACGCGTGTCTGCAGCCAACAACATTTGACTCGGCAGCGGCACGGGGGGGCAAGAGAGGTCCGCGTGCGGCAAGAGAACGTGTGAATGCGGCCACTTCGTGCACAATTTACTTGGATTCGTCCAGCAGGGCTGGGGACGGAAGCGTTGCAACGGCGGAGCGTGTCCGCTGTTGCCCCCTGGATTCCGCATGTTGGTCGCTTTAGCATGAAGCATGTAGTTGTGCACTGCAGTGTATTGGAGCGAAATGAGCGGGGTAGGTTATTGTCTTCCGATCTTGAGGACTTCAACGCACGAGTATGTCTGTGCTTCGTGTCCCCTTGGATGCCATGTGTTCCTTTAGGATGAACCATGAGCTTGGAAAACTTTGTTTAAAACTTGTCGGCCTCTCTCGCACGCGTTGCAGTCGTACAGGCCCTCTATGAGGCGGGTACAATTGGCTGTCACAGACGGAATAATCAAGTTGTTCAATACATCGAATAAGGCGGCTCCCCTGTATAGGATAGGTGAGTCGGTCTGGCGCGTGCCCGCCTTATAGAGGGCCTACGACTGCACGTCAACTCGGGCACGATGAACCATCCACTCAACCAGGGTTTGGAACAAAAAGTGCTGTTTTTCATCAACAGTTACAATACATATTTTCTTCCAAAACTGTACAGCAGTAGTTTTTTTCCCTTGAAAACTTGCAAAAAAATTTCTTCTTTCAAAAACTGACGGCCTCACTCCCACGCACCATGTCACCCGGGCCGGCCATTCCCGCCGCAATCTCCTGCCCGCGGTCGCCGAGGGCCTTGTCGTTGCCCGTCACCGCCCACCAGGTGCGGCGCACTTCGCTGTCCCGGCTAAGCATGGTGCCCCTTCGGACGCGGGCGATCTCCGTGGCGTCGTCGAGGAAGCCTGTCCACGCGACAAAGAGACAAAAGGGGACAAGATCAGGTTATTAATAGTGGCATCTTCGAGACGACACAGGCCAGCGAAGGATCAGAGAAACCGATCTGAAGGATGTCGAGGAAGCCCGTCCACACGACAAAAATACAAAAAGTGACAAGAAAGGATAGTGGCATCTTCGAGAAGGCACAGGCCAAAGAAGACCGGAAAAACCGACGGAAGCCTTTCGACACGACAGAGAGACAGGAGAAAAGACAGGATTAGACAAAACCGACGGGTGCATCATAAGACCGCGTGAATCATTCGCGAATTGAGCTCAATCGAAGAACTCCTGTTGACACGACAAAAAGACAAGAGGACGACAGAGGACGACAGAGTGAAGTAAGGGGAAGGACAAAGACGAACCGACGGATGCGTCATAAGACCGTGAGAATCTGAATCATTCGCTAGTCGAGGTCAGTCGAAGCAAGGCTTGACCTGTGTCCTGGCTATTGGGAAGACAAAAAATTGTTCGTCCACGCCTTCACGTCAAAGAAGTTTCCCATCACGCCGAGAAGAGGGCGAGAGCAATTCTGAAAATATCTGGTTCGATCATCGCGAGACGTGGCTGGGAAGCTAGCTAACTGACGTTCATCGCCAAATACGCACGTAGCCCACGGCCGCTGAACCAGGCACACAAGGGTGTCATGCCAGCACCAGAACAAGCGAGAGAATACACATCGGCACACACATACCGCTGTCGTCAACTCTCCTTCGTGCGCCCCCCCATCTATTTTGCTTTGTATGTGACTGACGTACTTTCATTGGTCCACCGGATATTTTGATCGATCTAAGTTTAAAGACACACGGTAGCAGCAGCAGCAGCAGCAGCAGCAGCAACAGACGAGCTACGACAATAGAAAACCAATTCTCACCCAGCCAGATAGCGGCGATCTCCTGCGCGGCGTTCCCAAGCACGGCGGCGTTCTCCGCAGTGTCCGGCATGGTAACGCTAAAGTGCACCGGCGAGGCCAGGGAGCGTTCCTTCAAGTCCATCGACACCTGGGTAGAAAAATACCAATTGGGGGGGCGGGGGGGGGGGGNGGGGGGGGGGGGGGGGGGGGGGGGGGGGGGGGGGGGGGGGGGGGGGGGGGGGGGGGGGGGGGGGGGGGGGGGGTACTCATGGTCGTGCATGCCGTATTCGAACAACCATTGACCTCGCATCCCTACAATACAATGTCGGGACGGGCGGGTCCTGCATCGTGAACGTCTTGTGTACCGCGCGATAAATTTAGGCATTGTTCCTTCAGGCCCATAGACACCTAGGTCGAGAAAAAAACAGGGG